ATAATGTTTAGTTTTTTCTTTAGCATTTATAGTAATATAATATTGATGAAAATCCCATCTAATTATATCTTCTGTTTCTTTTTCTTTTCCAGTTGCTATTCTTATAAAATCACTAAATAATTAAAGTTCATATAATTTTCTTAATGTGAACTTCCAATTATATCCTAAATTATTCCATCCTCCAGTTTTTTCAGGTCAAAAATTATTATATAATTGTGCTTTAACTAAAAAAAATTCATCTTGAGTTTTAGTGTATACTAAATCTAAATCACAATTATTGTTTTTATACTCTACAAGAAATTCATTATTTTGTAATAAAATTGCTGCAATATAAAATGGTTTTATTTCACATCCTTTAAAAAATACAAATACACCCATAAATGCTCGATCTTGTACAAATTCAGTAGAAACTCTTCCTAATTCATTCTTTTTTAAATTTATAATATCAACAGTTCATAATCAAAATACATTAATATATATGCATCAAAATCATCTTCAAATTTTAATGTTGAATAATTTAATTTATTTTGATACATATCTTTAGATAATGTTCTATTCGTTTTAAAAGTTTTAGATAATGAAAATCCTCTTTTAATTCCATCAATAATAACCTGAGTTCTTGGTGCAATGAAAACTGAATAAAGTGTTGAAATATTATCTTCATATAAATCAAATATCTCATATCTTTCATCTTTATTCTTAATAATCATTTATATTTTTTTAATTATTTGTTTTCTGATATTATGATTCATAAAAAATACTCATAAAAAATGATATTTTTTTCCAAAAACATCTTTAGTATCTATAGTCCAACTTGCATAATTTAAAGATGTTATAAAACCAAGTATTTTTTGTATTTTTGTTTTATCATTTTGTTCATTCTCATTATTAATCTTGAATTCACAATAAACAGAAAATCCCAAAATAAGAATCCAAACATCAAGATCATTTATAGCAACACATTTAACTTTTATATAATATTTTATGTGTATAATAATCTTCATAATCTTCTATAATTTGCATTGAGTATAAATTATCAGAAGGATAATAATTTCCAGTAAAATTCTCACATGTTTTAATCATTTTATTAAATAAAAAAAATAATAATAACAAAATAATATTGATAAAAATAAATAAAATATATTAGTTATTTATAAAAAAAATTAATTATTAATATTAATAAATCTATCAATTAATTTACTAATAGTATCAAAATCTAATAAATTATCTAATTTATATAATTTACTATTATCATAATCACTCTCATCAACATTTTTATGACTAAAAACAAGTTGTTCAGATTCAAATGAAATATTATCATTTTCCTCATTTTCGACTTTTCTAATATTAAAAATACAATCAAAACTAATTTTATTAATAAAATTTTCAAGTTCTAAAGACAATTTTTTTTG